GAAAGCCCCGTGCCCATTCCAGCGCCCGCAGGTCGGGTGGTCCTAGGAGCCCTCCGCCCCGTTGCTGGGAAGGGAGATGAAGAGGCTCTGCCCCCTCCCCAGAGGGATTCTCCCTTTTCACTCCCGGCATTTGCAGCGTGCTCGCCCAGCGGTGAAGTCCAGGCAGGGTGCCCAGCTCTGGGAGCTCTGCCCTGGCCTGCTTCCCCCACCCGGGCCCTCCCCTCCCCCCAGCTGCAAAACAAGACCTCCAGGCTTGCTTAAATAAAAAGCATCAAATGCAGTCGCTTGGACCCAGAGCCAGAACTGGACCCACATCCCTCCTGGTGAAGACGATGGGGCTGGCCCACCCCACAGGGTCGTTGGAGGGTAACCTCAGCCTGTAGCACTTCAAAACCCGCAGCTTTCTCTGCCCGCCCGGTTCCATCGCTTGGGTTTTCTCATCCTTAAACGCAAAGCATCTTTCTGCCCTCTGGCGCCTTAGCGTCATTCACTGTAAGGGGTGCCCTCAGTAGAAAAATGTGCGTCCCCTGAATTCCTGCTGGCCCCTGCTTGCTCTGCCCCACCGCTTCGCTCCTGGCATTAAGAGGTCATTTTTGCTAAGGACAGATTTTTACCTGTCGCTCGTGGTCTTGATGCCATGGCGTGGGTTGATGGCGGCGGGAAGCACCTTGGACGAGGCTCTGCCGGTCTTCAGAACCGCATTGCCTGGACCGCAACAGGGAGAGCCGCGGTCATTCGAAGTCATCCTCCCGTGCTCTGGGAATACCGTGCCCCGTTCCGAGCGCAGGGTGACGGGCCTTGCGGTCTAGGCCAGGTTGGGAGAAGACGCCTGCTCTGCCCTTCTGTAGGGTGGGCCAGGCCAGTGGAGAGCAGGACCATGGCCAGCTCCCTGGGCCAGTGGTGGAGGAGGTTGGCCAGCCCTTTGCAAGGGGCTCTTGGTCCACAGGGGCTGAAGTGGACGGCAGTGGAGTTGGCGGGAGAGAAATGCTGAGGCTTGGGGGTCGTGCCACGTTGCCAAGGCTGCAGCAACGCCTTCTGCCAGGGAGCCCGAGAGGGTTGATTCCGTCAGCCGGGGCTAGCAGTGGGTTCCGGGGCTGTGTGGAGAGAGCCTGCATCGGGGGCGCCTTCCTCTGGACCAGCTTCCTGGCTCTCGGCAGCCACTTTGGCCTCAGCTGGACTCTGTGGCTCCCTTGGAGGAGGCTGAGGGTGACCATGAGGTGGCGTGGGGAAGGCTGGGGCGACCTGTTTGCCTTGGGGCTTCTGGGACCGCTGCCCCAGGTCTGAATTTCCCTGCAGTTTGAGGGCTGTCTTCTTTTTTAGCCGTAATTCCAAGAACTGAGGGGAGTGATATTTCCCTGCAGGAGCCAGCCCACAACTTGAGGGTTGGGTGGGCGGGGGGCAGGGGGACAAAACAAAAAATAAAAAACCGGATGGGATCCGGTGAGGCTGCAGACATTGGCCGTAGGCCACGAAAGATCCTCTCTGAAGAAGGAGGCCAGAGCAGAACCTGCTTTCTCTCCGTTTCATCCTTCCAGAGCCAGTCAAAACTGAAATTCAGTAAACTGGAAAGTCTGCTTTTCAAAGTAACTTAAAAGCAGGGCATCTTTCCATTCAGGCTCGGCAAAGGTTGGAGCGGTGCCCAACCCAGAGAGGGCACTTTGCCACGGTCCAGCTCCAGGCCCACCCGCACGGAAGGGAAACAGCTGCTGCCAGAGAGAGGAGACGTAACCTGGTCCGCGAAGGGTTTTCCCTGCTCTATCGGTAGGACAAACTTCGGCCCTGATCTTCTTGCCCGCTGCAAAGGTCATGTTTGGAGAGCAGCGTCCGCCGGTTTAAGGGAAGCCCGGGACCCCCGCCTCCCCCTGCACCGCGTCTGAGCTATTTCTAGCCTTCTTCCCAAACTGCCTGGGTCCCCCAAAACACGACCTCTGCAGGCGGAGCAGAAGAAATAAAGGCACAGCTCAAGCAGGCAGAAATACATTTCCCGCTAAGCCAAAAGGTGGTTTGGTGGGCTTGGGCCTGGCGTGACGTGTGAACGCAGCCCGCTGGGGTCTGTCCAGGAATGACGGCGAAACCAAGCCAGGTTTAGCGCAAAGCATCACGGAGGTCGAAGCATCTTGCTAATTGGGCACAGGGCCCTGCCTTCAAAGTGACAAGGAAGCAGAAAGCGACAATCACCTTTTGCCGCCTTCCTTGGACTCCGCTGACCCTGGGGGGATATAGACTTAATATTTAACGCGTTTTATTCTGTGTGATGTCTGTCTGGGCAGAGGTACAGTGACCCCTGAGAAGCCATCATATCAAGGCCATAAAGCGGGAACACGGGGTCTAAGCCGTCTGACAGACACGTTCCAGCCCTTCTTGATATCCCCGGCCGTAAAAAAAGCTGCTATAAAACATGAGTAATCGTTGCGAAAAAGCCGTCTTTTACTACTGTGTGGTTCTCAGAAATGGGAGAGAGGTTTGCAGCCCTAAAATCATCGGCTGTACGCTCCTGACCTTGCCTTCGAGGCGGGAGTGGGGCACGGGGTTCTCCTTTGCCCTCCTTTTAGAGTCACAACAGACCTGCACAGAACAGCCGGTTCAGAGGCACGGGGGCTGTGCAGAAGGTCAGTGGTCACTCCCAGCGGTGTTCTGGGTAGCCTCCTACTTCTCTGGCTCACTCCGCTTCCCCAGACGCCTTGGGCTACAGCTCCTGGGGGCGGGCTGGGGTCATGGCCCTGCACCCTGGAGAGCAATGGGGCGGCTCTGGGTCACGCTTGAGTTTAGCGTCTTGGTGGCCCAAGGCCCGATCCAGCTACCCCTCGCCCTTCCTCATCCTCCCCGCAGAGTTTCCCCCTTTGACGCCTTTTCTGAGCATTGTTTTACCTCCTCGCCTGGAGCCCACCCAACAGGACAGAAACTTGGCCTTGATCACAATAACCCAATCAGCCACAGAAGACACAAAAGGGGGCCAGGTGAGTCTCCCTGGGAAAAGGGTTGCCGATGAGGGGCACAGCAGCCCAGGTGGCCTTCCCCGACCCCCCAAGTCCTGGTTCGTTGAAAGAAGCCTAGCGAGTGGGCTCAGGCCGCCGGGGACTCTGTTTACAAACCCCAGGGGCTGAGTCCACGCAGCCCACAGGGCAAGGGTGGGCAGAAAGGGCGGCCCAGGGCAGGGCGAAGAAGCTGCCGCCTTTGCTCTTGGGCACAGTGCCCTTTGGCCCCTCCGGGCCTTCGCAGGGAAGCAGGGCTGGGCCAAGCCAAGCTCCACCTTCGGGCACCTGCCTGGTGTCGAGTCACTTGCGCGGCCACCTCCCTGCCACCGAGGAGGAGCTGAGAACAGGCGGCTTCTCCGGACAAGAGATAGGTGGCCAAGCGTGTCACTCCCGCTGCTGCACTGGGGGGGCCTGTCATTTGGCCTGAGTCCCCGGGAGGTGATGGGACGCCAAAGGGGGTCTGTGGTCCAGCCCGTTCGTTTGCCTTTACGCTCTTCCAGCCTTCTTTGTCGTTGGCCAGAGAGGTTGCCCGGTGGCTGGGCACTGCTGGACTACAGCTCCCAGCAGCCTCCGATTCAGCCCCCCGCCCCCGGCTTAACCCTCTCCTGGGCGAAAGAGAAGCTGCCTGGCCTCCTTCCAAGAGCTGCCCTGGGGAACGCCGTGTCCAGGGTGTGAGGCAGCCTTTTAAAAAAGCGCCCGTTCTGGCAGGATGAGTGAGAGAGGCCGCTCAAAGGGCTTTCTGGACACCTAATTCCACAGGCACGCCACCCTCTCTGTTCCCAGGAATGCCGCCCGCCCACCCGCCCGGGGCTGTGTGCTCAGAGCTCGGCCGCTCTTGTGTTCAGGTCTCAGTGCCATCCCTTTCTCTTCCACCGAGCCTGGCAGGGGGCCCTGGAGCTCAGATGCCCTCCCAACCCTCTCCTGCTTGGGCCTTGGTGCCTGGGCCTCTGTGCTTGCTGCTAAGCGGGGAGGGGGCAGAAGGAGGCCTCTGAGCGGCCCTCCTTGGCACGGTAGCTGGGCCCCCGGGTGGTGGAGGAAACGGCCAGGCCTCTTCTCAGCAGCAAAGGCGGGCTTAGCCAGCTGACCCAGAGAGAGGGAGTCCGCGGTGCCAGGTCGAGGGCTCAGACTGGCGGCCAGGTCCTTGGCCAGAGAGAGGGCTCAGGAGGGTGGAGCAGCTCAGGGCTGCAAACGGGAGCCCAAGATGCTGTGAGGAGGCGTCTGCAGGGCGGCTCTCCTGGGACCGCATCTGCCCTCCCGGCAGAAATGCCTCCCGGCTGCTCTCCGGGGAATCCAGAGCCAAGGCAGGGAGGATTAACCGTGGTTAGGGTGGGCGTGGTGCTATCCTGGCCTGTGTGCTTGCTATGGGGTGCGGCGCAGTCTGCGCACCCAGGAAACGGGCTGACTTGGGGGACCTGCTCAGGTGCATCATGCGAATAAAGGCTGGATCAAGCCCCTGCTGGACTCAGGCTTCAGCACCAGCCTTACTGGGTGGTGGCTGAGGACGATGGAACTTGTGCTCCATCCATCTGGGGCCGGGGAAGGCTGAAGTGTGCCAGCCTGTCCGTGTTTTGGGGGAACACACACGCACCCCATTCTCCAGTCGCTGAGTACCGTCCTGCTGTCTTTTGGGCAACAGTACAAAACTTTAAATAGACAAATATTTGCTCATTTAATGTTTGCTTGTTCTGCTGCTTTGGGGTAACGCTTTGGTTTACCTCCTGGTGGCACGCCTCCTTTTGTGTGTCCAGTTTCGTCTTGGCTCTGGAACACACACACAAACGCGCACACACAGCATTTGTACAGAGGATGGCGCTTTCTAAGGATTTTTGTCACACGTCCCCCTCCCCGGCCAGCCGAGGGGCAGGAATTGGGGGGCAGGCTGGGGCGGACCTCTTGGGGAGCCTGGCGTGGACCTCCCTGCTTTGACCCACGGGAGGCGGGCCCGGTAGCCTGTCCTGGCCCTGGCGTGCCTCGGCTGTTGCCACTGGTCCAGCCAGCCCTCGCTGGAACCGGTGGGCGTGCGGTGCCATTCCCTGCTGGAGCCCCCCCTGCCCCCCGCCCAGCCAGCAGCCTCGACCACTTTGCGCTGTCACTCAAAGTCCCCGGGCCGGGCGCCAAGCGTCTCCTCCAAGGCGAGGCCGGGTTCTGAGTTCACGGAGTTTGCCAGAGTCAAGGAGTGCGCGGCACGCGGCCTCGGGGACAAGCCGGCCTCGGCCGATGCCGACGCGCTCGTGCCGAAGGAACCCGGGACCTTCATTCGGCTGCAGGGGGCTGTTGGTTCAGGATGTTCCCAGCCTTGTTATATTACGCCTGCGGAGATAAACACGGGGCTTGCCAAAAACTCTTGGCTTCCAGTGGCTGTAGGGATCATGAAAGGAGGGCAGAGCGCATACCCGCTGCCTCTCCCCTCCGCTTCTGGTCAGTGGTCCTTCCTTCCCACTTTGGAGCCCCACGTGGTCAGCTGCACCCCATAATCTTTAGCCTGTCCAGGAGAGGTGGGCGTGTGTGTTTCAGTGGGGTGTCTGCCTGGAGCTATGAATAGTGTTATCTGGACAGAAGAGATCGACCTGCAGCCAACAGGCTTCTCTTCCCTACATGAGCTGCGGTTCCTCGCCCTGCCAGGCTTAGCGCAGGCCCGGTGGGCCCTGCCAGCTTCTTTTGAAAATCCCTGAGCCTTTGGGGCAGACAGGCAGGCAGGCAGGGGAGCAATGGGTGGCCAAGGTGGGCTCTAGGCGGGGAGGCTGAGAGACCAGCTGCTTCCCTAAGGCGCCCAAGAGAGCTCTTGGAGGGCAGACGGGCACGAAAACACTCCGCTCTTGAATAGAATAGGATGTGGGAGGAGAGGTGCAGGGCAGGTCCACGAGGCCCCCATCATCCTTCACCACTTGCTGGGGGCGACGGGATACAGGTGCAGACATTTGGAGGGCGCTTCTGACGATGCCCAGAAAAAACAAACAGCATTGAGGCCATCAGGCACCGTCAGAAAAGCTGTGAACCCCCCTTGAAGAGAGCTTTGACCCCCTGCTGAAGAACTGGGGTTTTAAGGGTAGCCTGCCCCTGACTAGGGAAGCCCCACCCAGGTTTCTTGAGAAGTGGCAGCCGTTGGAGGCCTCTTTGCTTCCTCCTCTTTGCACTGGCTGACTCTCCCCAGGCCCCCCCGCCTGACCATCTCTGCCTGCTGGGGCAGGGTATCCCCACAATAGGTGGAGGTCTGCGTTGCAGGCTGTACTGTTGGAATAGGTGTCAGCGTCAGGGCGTTGGCTTCCTGGCAGAGCGGGCACCGCTTTGAGGAAAAGCTTGGTGGCATTAGGGAGCCTGGCAGGCCTGTGCCAACTCCCAAGTGGCAAAAGATACGCTCCCAAGGAGCCATCTCACCCCCGTCTGCCCCTAGAGCACTGGTCACCCAGGCCATAAAAGGGGTCCCCCGCCCCCTCCCACCTCTTTGGAGCTTGCCCAGCCAGGACCCCTGAGAGGCTGGGGGGCCGGTCAGCTGGGCTTGACCAGGCAGCTCCGTCTTCAGGGAGGTCCCAGGGAGGTGGGTGTGAGTGTGCAAGAGAAGGCACGCTGGCATTAAGGCGGGTGGATGTGGTGAAAAATAAGAATTATGTTTCCTATGGCCTTAGGATGAGATTCAACCAGGTGTTTCTTCCACGTTTATTGGAGGCCTCGGAGAATGGTTGGCTGGCTGCCAACTTTGTTATGCTGGAGGTGTAAAATAACGGGGGGGGGGGCTTCTCGTTCATTAATCAGATTTGGGGCAAAGGCAGGAAATGTGAATTATTGTCACCTCACGCGGGATGTAGGAAATAAGCATTTCAAGAAAAGAGCTTCCAGGGCCTGCCCAGAGCGCCTTTCTGCCGCTTAACCCAAGAATCAAGGAAATACTGGAGGAAACGGTGCGTTTCTGAGGAGTGGGCAGGCCCTGGATCTGATCAGTGGAGCGAGGCACCCAAAGTGTCCTGCCAGCTGCTGCCACCTGCCGGCAGAAGCCGTTCGGGGCCTCGGTATGGTCGTGTTCGGGGGGTGGCGAAGGAAACCAGACCCGGGGCAGGAGTGGAGTTGGGCTTGGCAGGGCAAGGAGAGGCTTGTGCCAACGCCTGCCAGAGACCCCCCCTTCCTCTTGGCCAGCTCCCTGCTTGGGGTCCAGCACCGGGCACTGGAGGAGGACCTGCCAGGGGCTCGGCCAGAGCAGTGGAAGAGCGGTGCCCGCATTCAGCCTAAGCATGGCCGGCTTTAACCCTGTCAGTTCTTTATGGGCTCCGTGAGGGGTGTGGGGTGAGTTTGTGCTCATTGCATGGCCGAAAGCCAGGAAAGGGGTTCCTTCAGGGCCCGGTGGCGCACGTCCCCTGCACCCCGTTTGCATCCCCAGGAGACTTCCGGGAGCAGATAGGGACACCTGGAGAGGTTTAGCCAAAGCTCTTCTTTGGGGTTGGCTGTTTGCCCCATTCCTCCTAAACCCCATAGAGAGTGCCACGTTGTGCCTGGGTGAGCCCTCCCTTCTCTGCCCCACAGTCGGGAAACAGGAAGCCCAAACACAGGACCAGATGGCATTTCCACAACGGCTTTATTCTGGCACTGGGAGGTCAGCCCGTTCTCTTCCTCACTGCCCCCTGAGCGTCTGAAAGAAAAGGAGAAGGACAATCTTAGGGACGGGACGGGACGGGGCATACACACACACACACACACACACACACACACACCGGGGCAGGCGGAGGAGGCCGCTCACCTGCAGAATCCAGCTGTCGAAAGCAGAGACCCGCGTGAAGACGGTGGGTTTCTTCAAGGCGTTGCAGCCCAAGGCGGAAACGAAGCTGGCGATCCCATGGACGTACCACTGGCCGTCTTTGTCCTGGCAGTTGAGGGGGCCGCCGGAGTCACCCTGCCCAGGCAAAGAGAACCTCAGGCCCGGCTCTTTCAAACGGCACGACCCTCCTCCCGGGCTTGGCACAAGCAACACCACCCGCTTTGTTTTTCCGATTCCTACCCTGCCTTGCTCCACTGATGATAAGAAGGGCTCAAGGCAGTTGAACAGGACAAGGAGAGAAGAGCTGAACTGCAGCTAAAGCTAACAGCCCGGGTACTCAAAGGGGCCTCGAAGGAGACCCCCCCCTTTGCCAGCTGGGACGGCCCGAGGTGTGCACGGGTGGGCCAGATGCCCTATCTTTGAAGGGGCAGGAGAAAACTCTGCCCTCCGTGCCTTGCCCCCGGAGTTTCAGAGCGCAAGGCTGCGGTACCAAGCAAGTTAATGGAAATAATAATAATTAAGAGTTGGCCCAAGGACCGTCCGCTCTGCTGTACTGGACCATTGACGTTGGTACTGACCATTGACCTTTGCGGGGCCGGTGCTTCCCATCAGCCGCTAGAGGGCAGCGTTCGCCACCCTTCCCGCTTGGAAGAATATTCCTTCCTAAACGCTTCTGCAGTTTTAAATTCAGTTTTTGCTGTTGGTGTTGGCTTGCCAGAGCACCAAGGCAGAGTACCCTTAATATTCTCCATATGCTAATAACGTTAACAACACTGGGATACGTGCCCTGCTGTGCTGCTCTGGCAAGAGCTCTTATGGGTATGACCGATAAGGGGCCGTGCCCAGCGGCGTGCCTCCTCCCAGGCCCCACTTACGTTGCAGCCGGATTGGATGTCTCCCCCAGCGCAAATCATGGTCTGCCGGACGACGCTTCCCCACCAGTCAGGCTGGCTGCAGTGCTCGTAGTCCACCACGGGCAGAAGGGCTTGCTGCAGCTTTGCGGGCAGAGGCCCCCCAGCTGCCGGAGAAAGCAGGGTCAGGCCTCCCTGCCAGGCCCGGCCGGAGCCCCCCACCCCCGCTGAGAGCACCCCACGTACTGGAAATGCGTCCCCAGCCGGTGATGTAGCAAGGGTATCCGTTGGGCAAGACAGACCCTGCCGTGGGGATGCAGCCCAGGCGGACTTTGTCGTTCAGCTGCGCCGGGTGGGAGAGTCTCAGCAGCGCGATGTCGTTGCTGGAGCAGAACAGGGAGACGGCTGCGGTGGGACGCTGGGGGCTTTCCTTCGCCCCCCCAGCACCCAGCACCCCCATGACGGACGCGTTTGCCTACCCGCAGGACACACAGCTGGGATTCCAGCGGGGATGCACAAAAATCTCTTCGGGATTCAGGGGGATGTGCTGCTCGGGCCCTTCCTCCACAGTGAGGTCGTAGTCCCCCAGCACCACCTTGTACGTGCGGGATCGTCTGCAAAAGAAAGCCCCCAGTGGCGTTCGTGCTGGGCAGAGGCCGCAGGATGGCGCTCAGGGGTCAGGAGCCCAGGTCCCCTGCGGACTCGAGGGGCCGGTGACCTCATTCTCCTCTTTCGTCACCAGCCTCAGCAAAGGGCCCAGGCGCTCTGGCCTTCAGTTTGTCGCAAAACTAAAGAGGGGGAAAGCAGGAAACCTTACCCTGAAAAAAGGGGGGAAGGTCTGTGCTGCACGAGCAGGAAAAGGAACCCAAGGTCAGAAAACGGATTTCTCCAATGGGGCGACCCAGGACTCTCCACGGATTTCCAAGGGCAGTGAAAGGAAGCCGAGAGAGCAGAGCCACGGGAGGAAGGAGGCGCCTGGCTCAGGCGATCACTCGGAGTGAAGTTGGCCCTTTGGGGCCCAAGGAGGAAAGGCTCCCCTTTGGGGAGAGGGCTGGGCTCCCCACGCGAAGCCCTTCCGGCCGCGCCCCGGACACTTACGAGATGCAGTGGGCAGCTGTTACGACCCAGTTGGGGGCAATGAGGGACCCTCCACAGGTGTGGCGGAAGACACCATTCTTCTCGTACTGGAGGGAGACCTGTGGGAGGCCAGGGGGAGATGCTGGGGGCCCCTCTGTGGAAAGAGGGGGCCTGTCGCCATGAAGCACGCCCGGTTCAGCCTGGCTCCGCTTTGCCTGCGCTGAGGGGCACCCACGGTCCGGCCAGGCTTTCTCAGCCCCACCGGGAAAAGCTGGGGCCGCAGCCCTCTGCCAGCCTGGTTGGGCTCAGCAGGCAGGGAGCCGGTTCTTTGCCTGTGATGGCCAAACCCAGACGGTCGGGGTGTTGGCGATCTGGTGCGCCATTCTGCCCCGGTGTGGTGCCTCTCCGTTTGACGAGCGGGCTGAGTTACCTGCCAAGGCCAGCTGTAAGGCGTGGCGTCTTCGCCGTTCACCACACGGCTGTGGGGAGAGTACGCTGGCTGCCCACACCCGGAGGCTGAGGAAGAGAACAGAGGGGTCCTGAGCCCTCTACCCCAGGGAGGGAGGCAGGGGACTTAGCCCTGCGAGGGGCAGAGGCCTTTCCTCCTGCAGGTGGGGACGGGCTCAGCCATCCTCAGCGGGAGGGCAGGGGCTGAGAGACTGGGGGGGGGGGCGCGTCTTTACCACCAGCCACCAACAGGACGGCGATCAGCAGGGTCAGCATCTTCTCTGGGCCGATTTCAGGGACTCCGAGCCTTAAATACCCTCGTGGCGGCCGCAGGGACCTTGGGGACAGGTGTGACTGTGCCCACGGCTCCGGCGGAGCCAGCCAAGGCTTGAGAATCTGGCCCCCTCCCCAGGACAGGCTGGGAAAAGAACAGCTGGTCCTCGTCCTCTCGTGCCGGCCCGGAAGCAGCCAAGGCCGAGTTAAGGGGCCTGAGTTGGCCTGGGAGACGTTCCTCCCCGTTGTTCCCTGTGAAAGTTGCTCCCTTGAAAGGGGCTGATCCCCACCGCTTTTTCGCTCCTCCAGAAAAAATGGGATTTCTGGGCTGGCCCTCAAGGGACCTCCTGGCAGCCCTGCTCCCTGCCCTCGGTGGCCAGATGTTTGCAGAACCAGCTGGGGTGCAAAACCACCCCCAGTTTTTCTCCTGCCTGGAATCAGCGTGTCCTGTGATTCAAGCCTGGCGGTCAGGAAATGAGTCTCTGTTTGTGGAAGTGGTGTGACTGTAGCCCATTACGGCTTATTGGGCAACCCCTGGCTTAACGCAGCGGTGTCATCTGGAAAGGGTGTGAACAACAGATGCGTGAAGCCCAAACGGTGTCGCTGCTGCCGTGCTGAGAAAGCTGGGAGCTGCGGGGCCCCTCTGGCTCCCGGCTCCCCGCTGGAGGAGATGCAGGAGAACGGAAGCCCCCTGCACGTGCGCCCAGAAGCAAGGTCTCCAAGTAGTCCTTCTGCGAGGGAAGGGAAGGCCCCATGGTCACAGGGGGCGAGGCAGGGGCTGTCCTCCTTTCCCTGTGCAGGAAACCCCTTTTCCTTGCGCGAGCCGGTTTCTGTGCACAGCTGACCGACAGCGCCCCGCTTTCACCCGGGGCTGTTCTGGCTGAGCCCCCCGCCGCGCTCAGAGGGAGTAGGTCCAAGGAATGTGCTTCGGAGTTGCTCTTCTGTTCCAAACAGGAGGAAAACAGACATCACCAGACTGAGGACTTGGAGTCCCAGAGTTTTTTCCACCCAGCCTGCCATCTACTCCTGGGCCTCAGCCGGGTCCCATCTGCAGGCAGCCTCCCCCCCACCCCCAAACGCCTGGCGGGCTGGGATGAGCGAGCGGAAGCCCACCAGGGGTACAGGACACCAGCCCAGGGCAGAGGGAAGACCCCCCACCCTGATGGGGGGGTGTCTGGCTACCTGCTTCGGCTTCTCCAGGAAGGGGCGTTTCTAAATAGCTCTGGAGGTTGCACAAAGCTTTGTGATAGTTGCATCCTTTACAAATATGCAGAAGTTCAAAATAAAGATGCACAGTGCTGGTCCCAGGGAATGTCTTTCCCCTCAAACGTAGAGGCTTTCGTAGAGAAGGCGGTTGGATGCACGATTAGTCTGGACGGACAGATGGGACCTCCCTGTGCAGCAGCAGTCCTCCCCCAGATGTCAGCCGAAAACCTACTGCCTTTGTCTCACGTTGGTGAGGGCCCTTGTGGAGCGTTTATCAGATGGCAAGGTTCACCATTCAGCAGTGGTGGCGAAATGCACAGCGTGCCCTGCCGTGCCAGCTGTGGCTGCGCCTTTGGCCAGTGGTAGGAACTCAGGGGCTGGTGGGCAAGGTCGTGGCTTTCATCCTGAGGCCCTTCCGTTTGCAACCTGCTTGGGGAAGGAGACATTTCTGGGCCCCAAACTGCACCCCTCCCATTGCACGGTGCCCGACTTCTCTGCTGTGGCCTCTGGAGGAAGGAGACCGAAGGCTTGCCGCCTGGGGAGTGGGGTGGGTGGGAAGAGGGGACACGGGGGGGGGCGTGGAAAACTCCCAGCACGTGCAAGTATTGGTGGACGTTTCCTGCAATACCTTTGGGCTGGACTAAACGACCTCTACTGGACTCCAACTCTGTTTTTGCCATTTTTGCACAAGTGTGTGTGTGTACGTATGTATTCCAGCAGAGAATAATCTAAAAAAGCAGTCCGTCCATGGGGGGAGAAATAGGCTACTTCAGATGTGAAAGGGCATCAGAGTCTTCCCTGCCTTGCCATGCATTGGGGGGGGGTTGCATGGGCTGTGGGTCTGGCGTGATGCAAGCCAGCCTCATGACACCCCCCCAGGTGGGGAGGGCACCCAGGTGGGGTGGCGCGAACCGAACCGCCGCCACCTTCCGCCCTTCTGAGCTCCCCACCACGCACGTTCCCTGCCGGACCACGACGGAGAAAGGTAAGAGGTGGGGGCGAGCTGCGTCTGCACCCATCTTCCCTGGCATCGTATTGATTTCCAGCTTTCTCACCCGCTGCTGGATTTATGGGTTTATTTATGGATTGCATTTCATGTCGGATTTATGGGAATTGCAGGGGACGAAACGGGGAAGATACGTTGGACGTGGGGGCAAAAGTGGTGTGAGGAAAAAAAAAGAATGCTTATGGGATCTGTGCAGAAATTACTCCCCAAGGGTCTTTGCGCGGGCATGTATTTTCATAGAAAAAGAGGGGCAGATGAGTTGTTATACGGCTGTCGGAAATCAGGCTTCTTGGGTTAGCTCTCTCTTGCCCCTAAATGCTTGCAGCTGACATCTGACACGGAGACCCTTCATATTATGACTCCTTTTATTACGGAAAGGGTGTAGCCGGCTAGCGTCGGCCTTTAACAAGCTAGTAAAGAGCTCCCCCTTTATTAAGGCCTTTTGTGGGCTTATGTACGCATCACGCTGGTTTAGCTTTGCACACCTTTGCACACCCGTGCAAACAGCCAGGGTCAGAGAGGCGAAGGAAGCAAAGAGGGGCAGCCTCGCGGCTGCACGGCAAGGCCCCCCGAATGGCAACGGAGAGGAGAGGATTCGAAGAAGGCGAAGATGAAGAAGAGGAGGACAACGGGCTGCAGCCAGGAAGACGTTTATTGTTTTTTACACGAGCAAAGCCCGATCTTGGAACGCCGCGAGTTTCTGCTTAAGGTGAATTGCTGGAAATGATCTGCAAGGCAAAACCAAAGTTCTGGGATTAGTGAGTGTGCAAGGGCACTTTGTGAGCGTGCAAAAGCGGTCTGGGCCTCTGACCCCCGAGACTCGGTTTGCAGGCCAAGGCTGCCTCGCCGACCGAGGCATTAACGGCAGCGGACCTGGCACGTGGAAAGAGGGGGCCCGCTGGGTCCCTCAGGGGCCATTCACGCTGCTTGAGAGGCGTGCCCGCTGCGGGTGAAGGGGCTGCCCCAGGGGCTCTGAGCAGGGCAGCGTCTGTGCCGGCGGCCTCTGCCCCTCCCCTCTGCGATGGGAGCCGGGCAGTACCTGCTCGATCCAGGGGATGAAGGCAGAGACACGGGTGAAGACGGTGGGCTTCTGCAAGGTGTCGCAGCCCCATCCGGAGACAAAGCTGGCGATCCCTTGGACGTACCACCGGCCATCAGCAGCTGGGCAACTGAGAGGGCCGCCGGAGTCACCCTGAAATACGGTTTATCCTCAGAAGCATGCTGATTTTTATTCCTAAGCTGCCTGGAAAGCTTGTTAGCGGCAGGACAAGGAGAGCCTCCACTTGCTCGTGTTCCTCAGCCATCTGCGCACCTGCTTCTCTACTGCTTTGTCCCCCGCTCAGGCACAGTAACCTCTGATGGATCTCGCCAGCAACTAAGCTCCTTCTCCGGACACGCAGCCCCAAAGCGGGAAGGGGCTTTGTGGTCCAGGCTGATGGGGGTGGAAGCGCCAGGGCTGCTAATCCCAGAAAGGCGTTTTCGCTCCCTTGGCCCCCTCCGCCTTCCCGCGGCTCCCCCTGCCCCTGACCTCAGCACTGCCTCCGAGCCCCCGGCCGTGCCCGGCCTCCTGGGGCCTCTACTCACATTGCAG